TCTGAGGCCAGTTCTTAATTAGGGAAGGAGCTGGGCCGCACCGAGCCTCCAAGTGTTCACCTGGGAGTTGGGGGTGCTTCTTAGATTGGCTGATCGCTGTGGTCAAGCTCCTGAATTATTCCTCCTCCTCCTTTGCTTCTCTGTGAGCACGTTGTCTCTCAGTAACCCAGACTTACCTAAAACTGGTCGTTCTCCTACCCTACCTCCCAAGTACTGGGATGACAAGGTTTGCGCCACCACGCCCAGCGTCTCTCACTTGCTTTAGGGAAGTAAAAGACTTCCAAGAAAAAGGTGAGTCAGACCTCACCCCCTTAGCTGAACACTCTCCCAGTGGCTTCCCCTTACCAACAGGGCAGCCGCTAGACCTTACAAGCTGGCCCTCACCCTCTCACCTCTTCTGGTGTTCAGCCCCCATCTCACCCCCGCAACCCCCGCTCCGCCCCATGCTGCTGCAGCCATGCTGAGGACCTTCACCGTTGGACAAACGTCAGGGCCTTCAGCATTCCTGGTTTCCCTAGGATGGCTTTATCCCTCACCTCCTTCAGGACTTCATCCAAATGTCACTCTGTCCATGGGCCCATTTTTAGTAACTTCATCTAAATAATAACCCCACACCCCCCCAATCACAGCACTTCCCTAACTCATGGTCTTCCTGCTTCAGCCTCGGTATGCGGTATGCGCGACTGGAAGGCACACACGCCTTCACTCCGGATCCAACCATTTCAGATCTGGTGGTCTGGAGGAGGCCTGCTGTGATGGCAGGAGTAGGGTGTGTGTCCAGAGAGTGGGGGAGGGAGCTGTGGCTATTGCCAGGCCACATTAATCATTTTCCTTTTGTGTGTGCATGTTGCATTGGTATTCGTATGTGTGGGGATCATAAACATGTGTCCACATGCATGTGGAAGCCAAAAGCCAACACTGGATGTCTTCCTCCATCACTCTCCGTTACCTGGAAACCACTGATTCTGATCTGGCTAGCCAGCTTGCTCTGATGGTCCCCCACCTCTGTCTTCTGAATGCTGCCATTAGAGACAGATGCCATGCCCCCACCAGCTTTTATGTGGGTTCTGGGGACCCAAGGTCAGGCCTCAATACTTTTGTGACAAGTGTTTGATCTACTGAGCCACCTTCCCAGCCTAACAAATTTTGAGGGTGGGGGTGGGGGAGCACAACTGGGCAAAGTCCCACATGGGCCCTCCTCTGAGAGTTTCTGATAGAGTTGGAGGCTAACCATGAACAGGTAATAAATAACCTGGGTTTGCACAGGTGCTATTAAAAAAGTCAAACAACCCAGCGTGGTGGTGCATGCCTTTAATCCCAGCACTCGGGAGGCAGAAGCAGACCAATCTCTGTGAGTTCAAGACCACCCTGGCTGACATAGTAAGTTCCAGGACAGCCAAGACTACGAAGAGAGACCCCCATCTCACAAAAAGGGGGGGGCGGAGTTACACAGGGGCTAGTGGTTAAAAACAGGACTGCTGCTCTTCCAGAGGACCAGGGTTCAATTCCTTCCACCAAATAGTGGCTCGTCGTTTGGGGGGGATCTGACACCCTCTCTTAGAGCCTCCAAAGGCAAGGGTACCACAGTACCAGGAGACTAAGTTCACATGGTGTACAGTGACATACATACATGCAGAGAAACTACCCATACACATTAAAAAAAATATTTGAAAGAAAAGTTAAACAGCTATGGTACAGCTTAGTGGTACAACATTCACTGAGCATGTGCAAGGCTCTGGGTACCAGCCCTGCTACTGCCACTGCTATTACTGATAACGACAACAATAAAAATTCCAAACAGGATGTAACAGAATAGTGGTGATCATGGAAAACTGAGCCAGTAAAAGCAGGGAACATTTGGATTGGCGAGGCTATGGGAGAAAGGTGTCATAGACAGAACACAGGTCCTGGGGTAGAAAGGACCGTAAGGTGGGAGGGCCAGCTTGACTAGAGTTGAGTGGAGGAGAGTAAGGGATGAAACCAAGGTAGTTATGGTGTGAGTCCGGAGCAGACCCTCGTTTGTATTCCCAGAAGGAGTGGGACTTCTCGAGAAGTTGCTGGATGTTCCAAGGAGGAGAACGATGTGATTTAATTAGCATTTTTTTTTTTTTTTTTTTTTTGCTTTGTTTTTGTCTGGAGACAACTGAGGAAGTTTCCACCTTCCCTTCAGAGACAGTCTCTTGTTCACCAGTACATATGGCTGGCTAGCAGGCCCGCAGACTTGGGGCATTGCCCTGAACCCCAGATCTGTGGAACTGAATATAATTTTTTTTTAAAAAAAAATTGTTTATTTTTGTCTTTTGAGACAATGTTTCTCTGGGTAGACCTGGTTGTGCTGGAATATACTCTGTAGACTAGGCTGGTCTTGAACTCAGAAATTCATCTGCCTCTGCCTCCTGAGTGCTGGGATTAAAGGTGTGTGCCACCACACCCAGCAACTGCACACTGCTTTTATGTGGGTTCTGGAGATGTCAACCTAGGTCCTCACTCTTACTTAGCAAGTGCTTTACCCACAAAACCATTTCGTAGCTGTTGGAATTTTTTAAAAAATGCTGTGAAGAGAAGTCATGACATACAACAGGACTCACGTGGGAGGTGTATGGAAAGAAAGAAGGAACAGAAAAGGGGGTGGGGGACAGATAGCAGTCCCTGGGGACAAGAGTGGTAGAAGGGAAAAGGAGAGAGGGAGAGAGAGAGAGGGAAAGAAAAAGAAAGAGATGGGAGGTGGGCAAAGCCCACCTTTTATAAGGGAACATAGTATTTACACGTGGTGCTCTTAGTGGCTGCAGCTGAGGACGTATCCTGTCAGGACCCCAAGGGCAGACCAGTACAGATGCCTGAATACTAACACCGGCACCTCCTCTTTATTATTATTATTATTATTATTATTATTATTATTATTATTATTATTATTTTGTGACGGGTGTATGGAGTCCTGGTTGTCTCGGAAATGGCTGGATTTGAACTGAGTGAGAGACTGACCCACCTGCTGCTGTCTTCCAAATGCTAGGACTAAAGGCATGGGCCACCATGCCTGGATGGCTCTTTCTTGTCCCCCCCCCCCCCAAGACAGGGTTTCTCTGTATTGTTTTGGAGCCTATCCTGGAACTTGCTCTTGTAGACCAGGCTGGCCTCAAACTCACAGAGATCCCCCCGCCTCTGCCTCCCGAGTGCTGGGACTAAAGGCATGCGCCACCACTGCCCGGCAGCTCTTATTTTAAAGATAGGCTCAAATGTAGTCCAAGCTTTCATTAAGTTCCTTGTTGCTGATCTTCCCACTTCTGACTCCCAAATGTTGTGCTTAAAGATGGCACCATCACCACCTAGCATGGCAGCCATCTTAGAACAAAAACACCTCCTGAAGTCTCCCTATCCCTTTCCGATAGGCCGTATTTTCAGATAACCTGTTCACTTTCTTCACAAGGCCCCGCCCCCACCTCACCCAAATGAGGTATCTGTTGGGAAGCCAAGAAACCACAAACAAAAATCCCCATCTTTGCCATGCAACCCTTCCAGAAAAGTCCCTAATGCAGGGTACGCTCACTTGGGCATGGGCAGGGCAGTGACATGTCACACTCTCTCCTGGTTCCCAGTTTCTTTACCCTCGCTCTCCAAAGCCTGGCTTTTCATCTCTCAAGCCTGAAGTAGTGTATTCCTGAACCCAAACTGGATGTGGCTTTCAAGGACAGCATCTTAGATATCTCTGTTCAGTCGTGGGGGTCCTTTGGGCATTTATTTTTCCCCCTTTAGGGCCTCAGCAGCACGTTCCATAACTAAAGGTTGACTTTTCAGGCCCTAGGAGGCCTAGCCTGTGACACATGCCCCACAGGCACACCCACACCCTTATGACGGAGTTTCAGTCCACTGGAAAGGATCATAAACACATAAACAGGGCTCTTATGGAGGCTGCCGCGTAGCAGAAGCAACTCTGCTTAGGCTCTGCCACGAAGGCCTGAGAGGATGGCTCACCCAAAGGATACTTGCTTAAAATTCCATTGGCAGGGAATGGCTCAACAGTAATGTGCTCAATGTGCTAGCCGCCATGTCCTGGGCTGGCTCCCTAGCACTGATGCAGAAAACTGAAGAAGCTAGCAGAGTTTGAATCTTACCCCCTGGGGTCCTGTTTCTCCCCATCTCCAAACCTCAGGCTTCAAAATGCTACTTTAGCAAGATGTCAGTGCACATCTTCAAGCTGAGCACTTGGGAGGCAGAGGCAGCTGGACCTCGGTGAGTTTAAGAACGGCCTGGATAGTACATAGTGAGCCAGTTTCAAACAAAACAAATTGTCCTTATTTGCAGATAGGGGTCAAGCCCAAGGGCCTCACATGTGCATATACTGAGCAAGAGTTCAATCATCCACCTATACTCCAAGCCCCTAAACTTGAGGTTTTTCCTATGCAAATGTGAAATGTGACACAGTATCTGTTTCTTTCTAATCCTGAGGATTAAAGGATTTAGTTTGCATAAAATAGTTCTGACAGTATCCTTAAGCAAGGGTAACTGTTTTACACAATGTTACACTTGCCCCAACTTTGTTAGGGAAAGGATAAAAGTGTCCAGAGAACTTTTCTTTCTCTTTCTTTCTTTCTTTCTTTCTTTTTTTTTTTTTTTTTTTTTTTTTTGAGACAGGGTTTCTCTGTGAAGCAGTCCTAGCTGTCCTAGAACTCACTCTATAGACCAGGCTGACTTCAAACTCAGAGAGACCCTGCTGCTTCTGCTTCCCGAGTGCTGGAATTAAAGGTATGCACCACCAACGCCTGGCAAAACCAATCTTGTTTTTTTCCCTTTGGCTTTTCGAGATAGAGTTTCTCTGTATGACCTTGAATGTCTGGGAACTCACTCTATAGACAAGGCTGACCTCGAATTCACAAGAGATCTGCCTGCCTCTGCCTCCTGAGTGCTAAGATTAAAGGCATGCACCACCACTGTCCAGCTGTGTTTAGGGGAACTTGACAGCCCGATTTCCCATCAGCCCTGATAAGTTTACAAATTTAAGACAATTCACATCTTTCCAAAATACTTTTATTAAAAAAAAACACTCAAAAAATAAAATTAAAATAAACCAGCCACTACAAACCCTGCCTTTTGTTGTTGTTGTTTTTTTTTTTTTTTTTTTTGTTAAATAGTGTGGCATGGAGCTGGTAGATTTCCACCCTATTGCACATGGTCCGGCCTGGTTATGAATCAGGAGGCTGCTGGAACTGGGGTCCTGCCAGGAGGAGACCAGCCCCTCCCACTCCCTGGAGAGGCAGCCTACCCATCACCCTTCGACAGGTCCAGCTTTATGTTCCCTGAGGCCCTAATGGTCACAAGGGCAGTGGGAACTGGAGGCAGAAGAAATGTGTAAGTGAGAAAATCAGACTCCCTGAAACAGAGTCTCCTTAAGGCATCTGGGAGAGATAAATTAATTCAGGAAGACGCACCTTCATGGAAGGCTGGGGTAACCAGACACGCACAGGTGCAGGGCAGTTTGTGGAACCCTGACACAGGAGGAAAGGAGGCCACAGTCACTGCTGAAAGCCTCGGCTAAACACACACAAGAGTCACATCCAAGGACCCAGCTCAAAGAGGCTGGCGCCAGGAAGGACCCCCTGAGTCTTAGGATCCCAGAATAATTTCCATGATGTGGTCCAATTCATTCCACTCCCAGGATCCTGGAGCACAGAAGAGGCTTCGAGAAGGCTCTGGGGGCGGAAGTGCAGAGTCCTTTTCTACTGCAGATGTGTCAATGTCCAGAAAGAAGTCATCCAGGCCAGAATCTCCCAAGTACCGGGAACTCAGAGCTTCTAAAAACACAGGATCAGCCTGGGGCATCATTTCATTAGGGAGGCTTGGGGGAGCCACTGGATTCTGAGGGGATTCCATCTCACCCATGGATGTATCTAGCTCCCTGAGGATAGAGCCAATGGTGGTAGACAGGGAGAAATCTTCTTCACCCAGGAAGAGAGGCTCTGGGGGCAGGGCTGGTGCTGGAGCTAGGCGAATGGCCGCCTGGAGTTGCTGGAGTGTATTGTGGATAAGGACATGTCTGCGGAGGCTGGGTGCTCTGGGGCCCAGGCTGCGCTGGACTTTGTCCAGAGAGATTCGGAGCAGGGCTTGCTGGTAGCTCCGAAGACCAGCTGGACTCCAGTCCCACTTCTCATCTTCCTCCTCCTCCTCCAAATCAGAGTGCTTCCTCTTCATACCTCCCATGTCCTGTGGAAACAGTCACATCAGACACCTTTGCTTTTTTTTTGTTTGCTTGTTTGTTTAAGACAGGGCTTCTCTGTGTAGCCCTGGCTGTCCTGGAACTAGCTTTGTAGACCGGGCTGGCCTCGAATTCAGAGATCCAGCCAGCCCTCCAGTGCTGGCATTAAAGGCCTGAGACACTACTGCCTTTGGATACCTTTGGACCCCACTTTTTCAGCAAGCCTGTGTAGTTATGGGAGGGTTTGTTTGTTTGATCAGAACCTTTATTTAAAGTGCATATAGTCAGACTTTTACAAGGCTAAGAATGGGTGAATAAATGCATGCTGTGTGATTAAGAGAACAAGAGTCAGGGCTGGAGAGATGGCTCAGTGGTTAAGAGCACTGACTGTTCTTACAGAGGGCCCCGGGGTTCAATTCCCAGCACCTACACTGCAGCTCACAACTGCCACTCCAAAATCAGACACCCTCACATAGACAGACATGCATGCAGTCAAAACAACAATGTATATTAGAGAGAGAAGGAGGGAGAGAGGGAGAGAGAGAGAGAGAGAGAGAGAGAGAGAGAGAGAGAGAGAGAGAACAAGATGCAGGTAGGATTGCTTGGAGTGATCAGGGAGAAAGATTGTATGTGTAAGAGGCAGAAAGTTCAAAAGTTCAAGGTCATCCTCAGTCAGATAGTGTTTCACCTATAAAAGGGAGGTGGAGAGATGGCTGAGTGGTGAAAAGCACTGGCTGCTCTTCCAGAGGACCCGAGTTTGATTCCCAGCACCCACATGGTGGCTCTTAACTGTCTCAAACTCCAGTTTTAGGGGACCTATGCTTCCTTCCAGTTTAGGGGATCTGCCACAAGTGGTGTCCATACATACAGGCAGGTAAAACATCCATATGCATAAAATAAAAAATTGTGAATACTGTCCCATGCCATTAATTTCAGCACCAGGAGGCAGAGGCAGGTAGAGTTTTGTGAGTTCAAGACCAGCCTAGTCCACATAGCCAATCTCAGGGCAGGAGAGTCTCATAGTCAGAAAAACAAAAAGCTCCCAAACAATTCAGCAAACACCTGGGCTTGGCTTGAATATCACTTACTAGCCTGTGGTAGTCACAATGTTGAATTTATACTCTGACAAGCAATTTCAGCTTTTGCAAAGTGAGGCTCTTAACTCTAGTCTCAATGGATCTTGCATTGTTCTCCAGAAATACTTTCATTATTTTTTTTCCTAACAAGTCACAGGACAGACAAGTGTGGAGTACATACAGAGCAACGGACCAAAAGTGCATATGAGTTCTGCATTTGAACTGTGATCTTGGCAAGACTCGAGGCCGCATCTCTGGACCTTAGTTTTTTTTTTTTTTTTTTTTCCTTTTCAGACAAGGTTTCTCTACATAGCCCTGGAACCTCCACTGTAGATCAGGTTGACCTAGAACTCATATCCTACCGCCTCTCTTTTCCAAATGCTGGGATAAAAGCATGCTGAGAATTGTGTGTGTGTGAATGATATTCTTCTTTTTACAAGGATGTTTGTCAATACCCACTTCCTACGCCAAGACTAAGAGCGCTCACAAGAGAGAAAACATTTACCAAACTTGCACTCAACCAGATAGAACTGAACCAACACCAAGCTGTGCCCTCTAGCGATCAGTCCAACCACACCGTCGTTTTTTATAGGCACCGCCCTTCCCTGGATCTCTAGATCAGATCCAAGAACACCCCAATATGTCCTCAGGGCCTTCTGGGAGCTGTGGACCCACAGCCGCCTGGCAGAGCTGCTGCTGTCACGTTCGAACTACAATCCCCAGAAGGCCCTGCACGCCCGAGGGACTGGACACACCCGCCCTGCCTGAGAGCATGCTCACTGGAGCTGGTGGGGGAAGGGACCCGGACGCCCAGCAGCCCCGCCCCGCCCTCTGCTGCCTTCGGGGCGGCGAATCTGAGCTCCACGCCCCGAGCGCCCCTCCCCCACCCGACTTCAGCCCGAAAACTGCTTTCTCCCGGTTCCTATCACCCCAGGAAGTTCTGGATTCTTCCCTAAACTGTCCTCGGGGTGCAGAGACCCACATCACATCACATCTCGTCGTTCAAAGAAGATAACTCTCGAGTACGTAGTCCGGCTGGGGGAGACTGGGTCTCTCAATTCTGAGACCTCGTCCCAAATCTTCCCTATTCGGCTCGACTTTCTGATGACTCTGGCTTTACTTTCCAAACTCCCCGCCCGGGTCCGAGGACCCCGACACTGAACTCCCCACGGCATCCCCTTCTCACGACGGCGTCCCGGAATCCCGGACTGGGTGCCTCTAGTTCCCCCGGTTCCTCCAAAGGATTCATAGCCTAGCCTCAAGCCTCTCACACTTTGTCGTGGAACTCCGAATTCTACCCATTCGGGGAGACCCAAACTGTCGCACTCTTCCAGATTCGTGCCCCGAAAGTTCCTTCTCCGTTCTCCTCGCTTCTCCAAACTGCAACTCCTCCCGAATAACCTGCCTCCCCTCCGGTGCTGATGCTGGAGTTCAGTTTCTAGCCTTCCGCCCTCCGAAGCCATCAAGTCACACCAATCTGCGCCCTCCACTCGGGTCCGTACCCCGCTTCCGTCTATCACCGGGGCGCGCCCCCTCCTCCTCCAACTTCAGGAAAACCCCACACATGCAGCCACTCCTCACCTCGGCTGCCAGGGTCGCCACGACTACCTCCGGCAAACCCGCAGCGTTGCGTCCCACCAGCGCTGGGCAGGAGTCAGGCTCACTTTCCCCGGGCCTCTGGGTCTGGCCGGGGGCCGCTCGGCTCCTCCCTGGAGGCCAGTCGCGAGCCACGATTGGTTGGAATCCTGCCCGCCGTGGGGCGCCATTGGCTAGGAGGAGCTACCAACGCTAGGCTCCGTCCCCCACTGGGCCGGGTCCCGTTTAAGCTGGCGACTAACAGGGGGCGGGGCGGGTCACCAGGGTGGCGGAGGGTGGTATCGCCGTCAGAACGGCTTCTTCGGCCCCAGCTGTGTTTCTTGCTCCTCTGTCTCTCTACAGGTCGCTTACACCAAGGCCAGACCCCGGTGCGGGGCCAGACCGGGTGCCACCACTCTCCCCTCCCTTGCGGTTTTGCAGGCTGGGCAGCTGGCGGAGGCCACGCCCCCAGAGTTCTGAAGGCTAGGGCTAAGCGGAGGGCGGGGGACAGGGACTGACGCACTAAATATCAGCCAATAGTGCGATGCGGCTTGCGTTACCTGGACGACCGCAGCCCCGCCCCTGAGCTGGCTTCGTTCTGCCTCCCCACCCCCAGCCCGTTCCGTAGGCGCAGTCCGTGCTTAGATTTGAGGGGTCTGCTGCTGGTTTGGTGGGACCTCCTGGATCCTAGGCTACTCCATCCTTTCTCATATTGTCTGCCTCTTGCTGCTCACTCTTCGCCGCTCCTCGCAGCTCTCGGGATAAACTCAAAACTTATTTTTTGGGTTTGGGGATTGAATACTGGAGTATTCTGGACAAGCACCGTAGGACTGAGCTATAAACACCTAAGATTTTTCGATTTGTATTTATCTATTTTGTGACATGGTCTCAGAGTGAAGGGGTTAGTTTGCTCTTCACTATCTGGCCTGTGGCGCGTTCCTTCCTGTTCTGTAGGATTCATTTTCAGGTTTCGTTTTATTTTGAGACAGTCTTCTGTGGTCCCGGCTAGACTCGTGTTGTGGACAGTGCTGGCCTTGAAATTCTAATCCTCCTGCGTCCATCTCCTCAGTCCTGGAGTTGCAGGTGTGCCCCTCCAGACCCATAAAATTCCCCTTTTGTTTCGTTTTCGTGGTGTTGGGGAGGGAACACGGAGCCGAGCTACTGCTAGCCAAAGCACTCTACTTCTGAGCTACTTCCCCAGTCATTTTTTGTTTGTTTTCCGAGACAGACTTTTGCTACGTAACCTAGGCTGCCCAGGAATTCTGTATCCTCCTGCTTTAGTCTTCAATGAGTAGGATTTAGGCTTTCACCATCTTGTCTGGCTTGCTATCAGTGTTTCTAAAATGGCTCCAATACCTTTTAAGACATAAATATGCGACTTTTTTGTCCTTACCTTATCTTAAGAGTCCAATCAATGCAAGGCAAGTAAGTTCATAGCAAACTTTCAGCAGTAAGACTGCAAGATTCTGACTCTTGTGATTTTTCTTTCTTTTCTTTTTTTTTTTGGGGGGGGCGGTGTTCAAGACAGGGTTTTTCTGTGTAGCTCTGGCTGCCTGGCTGTCCTGGAAGTCACTCTGTAGACCAGGCTGACCTCAAACTCAGAGATCCGCTTGCCTCTGTCCACCAAGTGCTGAGATTAAAGGCCTGTGCAGCCACAGCTCATTTCGCTTTTTTTTTTTTTTAATGTGCTTTTGTGTTTTGCCTGCATGTAAATGTGGGTGCTGAGAACTGAACAATTGAACCCGGGTCCTCTGGAAGAGCAGCCAGAGCTCTTAACTGCAACTGCTGAGCCATCTCTCCAGCCCCTGGGTTTTGCTTTTTTTTTTTTTTAAGTTTTATGTGTGTGAGCATTTTATCAGATGTATGTGTGTGCACTGTGTGTGTGTGTGGTGCTGGCAGAAGTGAGAGGGTATCAGATCCCCTGGGGTTAGAGTTATTGACAGCTGTGAGCTCCATGTAGGCTCCGGGAACCAAACCAAGGCTCTTAACCATAGAACCAGCCATCTCTTTGATTTTGCTTTTGAGTCGGTGTCTCTCATGTAGCTTAGGAACTTCCTACTTATTTTTAACATTTTATTTGTTTATGTTGGGTTTATGTGTACCATGACAAGCATGTAGAGGTCAAAGGACAATGTGAGGGAGGGTCTACCATGTGGGACTCAGGTCATCAGGCTTGGTGGCAAGTACCTTTACTCACTGAGCTATCTCTACATCCCCAGAACTCTGCCTGCATACGCAGATGGCTTTGAGCTTCTCATCCTTCACCCACCACTCAAGTTCTGGGCTTTCAGTAGTTCAATGTTATACCCAGCCTGGATCTTTTTTGTCATCATTTTCTCTGTTTCTCTCTCTCCTTCCTTTCTTCCTTTCTTTCAAGACAGGTTTTCTCTGTGTAACAGCCCTGCCTGTCCTGGAACTCACAGAGATCCACCTGCCTCTGCCTCTGGAGTGCTGGGATCATAGGTGTGTGCCACCACCTCCTGGCTTAATTTCCTTACATTTATTCATTGTAATTTTGTGTGCACGAGTGCTTTGCTTGCATATATGTCTGCGTACCACATGCGTGTAGTGTTTGAAGAGGCCAGATGTTAGATTCCCTTCTAACTGGAGTTCCAGATGTTAGATTCCCTTCTAACTGGAGTTCCAGATGTTAGATTCCCTTCTAACTGGAGTTCCAGGCAGTTGTCTCTTGTACCTCTTCCTACCAAACCTTGATCCTCTGCCTGCCCCCACGAGGACACAGTCTAAGGTGATCTTGATCTGTAGTCTCCCCTGAGTGCTGGGCATAGGGCAAGTATCCCGTGGAATTTGTTAAATGCTCAGGCAATGTACAGAAAGAGAAATTGTGATGGCAGAAACAAAACCAAACCACTGTTGTGGGCCAGCAAGGTAATTTGGTGGGTAAGGGTATTTGTCACTAAGCCTGACGACCGAGTTCAATCCCTGGGACCTACATGACAGAAGTTCTTTGACCACTATGCGCATATGCACTTGAGTGCAGGCACACCTAACAAACAAACAAATACCATTTAAAACAAACCAACAGCAAAACCCACATCCCTCTTCTGAAAGCCCTCATAGGTAAAAGTGTAAAGGCCAGCGGTGTAAGTTTTCACTGAGAGCAGACCAGGCAGGTCTCCTGGGTTCCAAACTGTCTTCAGTCTTCCTGGCCTTGACGGTGTGGGACTCAAGAGGATTCCCCCAGGGGAAGCGCAGAGATGGGGGTTGAGGGCAATATGTGGGTAGATGGGAAGAGGAAGGACTTGGGAGTGGCTCTCCCAGGCATGACAGAAATACTCAGGGGAACAATAGAAGGCAGTAGATTCCCAAAGAGAGACTCAGTTAGGATCAGGCAGTGTTTGTGCTGTGTGTGTGTGTGTGTGTGCGTGTGCGCGTGCGTGTGCGCGTGCGCGCGCGCGCGCGCGTTAATAAGTTTCCTGGGAGGAGTGATTTCATTTTTTTTTAAACCAGGGTTTTGTTTGTGATAGGCAATCACTCTATCACTGAGCTACATTCCCACCTCTTTTCCTATTTTCATTTTGTTTTTTGAAACAGGGTTTCTCCATGCTGTCCTGGAACTCGCTCAGCGGACCAGGCTGGCCTTGAACTCAGAGAGATCTGCCTGAACTCTGCCTCCTAAGTGTTGGGATTAAGGCGGTGCCTGACCATACTCAGCTTTTCAATTAAATTTTAATTTAAAAGTTTTATGTGTATCAGTGTCAGGTCACCTGTGTCTTATGTCTGGTGTGCATAGAGGACATTGCATCTCCTGGAACTGAACTTCAGAAGGTTGTGAGCCTCCACATGGGTGCTAGGAATCAAACCCAGGCTCTTTGGAAGCACAGACAGTGCTGTTAAGGGCCGAGCCTGTTAGTACTCAGGCATCTGTGCTGGCCTGCCCTTGGGGTCCGGACCTGACAGGATATGACCTCAGCTGCAGCCACTAAGAGCACCACCTGTGCACATTCACTGTTTCCTTTTTAGAGATGGGCTTTCCCCATTTCGTGTCTCTTTCCCATCCCTTTCCCTCTCTCTCTCTCCCCATCCTTCCCTCTTTCACATTCCCTTCCTCCAATTAAAAACAAACAAACAAACAAAAAAGCCTCCACCTGAGCTGTGTGGCACAAAACAGCAGCCATTTCTCCAATCCTTCTTTTCTTGTTTTTTTTTTTTTTGCTTTGTTTGTTTGTTTGTTTTGTTTTTTGTCTTGTTTTGCTTTTAGACATCTCCAGGAGCCCATGCCTCCACCATTTTCGTCCTTACACAAAATCTGTGAGTAAAATCAAAACTTTTTGTTTTGTTTTTTTCTGAGACAGGGTTTTTCTGTGGTTTTGGATCCTGCCCTGGAACTGGCTCTGTAGACCAGGCTAGTCTAGAACTCACAGAGATCCGCTGCCTCTGCCTCTCAAGTGCTGGGACTAATGGCGTGGGCCACCACTGCCCAACTTGTTTGGTTTTTTTTTTTTTTTTTTTCTTTGCTTTTTGAGACATAGTCTCACCTTTAATCCAGGCTAGTCTGGAACTACATAGCCTAGATGGCTTCAGAATTATCCCAACCCTCCTGTCTCAGCATCCCAAGTGCTAGGATTATAGCTGTAGGGCACCATGTTCAGCAAAGTTTGGCTGTTTTCTTTTTCTTTTTGGTAAGTTTTCATTACATTACACTGTGCCATATATGTTGAAGTGAGAGAACAATTTATAATTTACAGGAGTTTGTTCTCTTTTTCTATTATGTGAGACCTAGGGTTTGAATGCAGCAAACACTCCTAACTGCTGAGCCAACTCATCAGCCCTAAGTGCAGCCTTTACCACAATGGCCTTTTACAATTCAGCCTCCTCCGTGTTTTGGCCATGCCTACTTCACTGTAACAGTATCATTACTGTTACTGTTGTTGTTATTTTACTGTTAATAAAAACCTGATCAGGAACTGTCAATCCTCCTGCTTCCCTCTCCCAAGTGCTGGGATGACATGCCTGGCAAGTAGCATCGCCACTAGCTGTAAAGGACAAAGTTTAGTTTCTGTCTTGCATTGCTTTGGCCAGGAATGCTGCCCTACTCTAGAACCTTCTCTTCAGGTTGGATATACAATTGTCTTCCACTAAGACAGTGCCTCTCAACCTTCCAGTACTCTGACCCTTTAATAGTTCCTCACATTGTGGTGATAACCCAACCGTAAAACTATTTTTTTTGGTGCTGCTTTGCAGCTGTAGTTTTGCTACAAGCCCCTGGTAGCTCAGATCCCAAGACCATCAGAGATATGTTTTCTGACTGTCTAACCCTTTTTGCTCAACTGTGTCAGATGACCCCTCTGTCTGCCCCAAGCCTCTGAGCTTCTGAAACTCTGGCCAGTGTGGGTTGTCACAGCAGGGCCAGAGCTGTCACCTGCTGCTCTGTGAGGAGAGCAAGAAAAGCTGGTGCATGGACTACCTTGGTCCCCATGGGATCCCAACACAGGGCTTGGCATAGATGAAATAAACAAACAAAAGCAACTCTTACTGTATAAGTGGATGAAGAACTACTAAGTAGCAAACACAGAAACACTGACATTATCAGTGTGGCGAGAGTCCTGCACTCCTAACTACTCTGAAGGCCGAAGCAGATAGACAGTTCAAAGCCAGCCTGGACAAATCAGTAAGACCTTATCTCCAAATTAAAAAAAAAAAAAAAAAAAAAAAAAAAAAAAAAAAAAAATTAAGAGGGCTGCCAGGAGGGCTCAGGGGTCAAATGTGCTTGCTGCTAATATTATCAACCAGAGTTCAATTCCCAGGATCCACGTGGTGAGGGACCTGAATCCATCAATTTGTCTTCTGCCCTCCACATAGGCACCATAACATGCCTCTCCCACCCCTAAGTAAACAAAAGGTACTTCAAAGAAAGTTTAAAGTCTGGGTTGTGTCTCAGCAATAGGGAGCCTATCTAAGAATCTACTCATCTGTAGAGACTTTACCCAGCATGTGTAAGACCCTGAACAAATTCCCAGAGAGGACAATCTCGGTTGGGTTTTCTGAGATACTTTGAAGCTCTTGGCTAAAAATTTATTGATCCTTCTATGTCTGTCATGTCTCAGGATGCCATTCTCCCAACCAGGGCCAGGGTCCTACTCATACTGGTGGGAGGGGTAGGTGTTGTGTCCATCATACTCATTGGTGGTGAGGCAACGCAGCATGAAGTGGCCCAGGTCATGCTTGGATATGACCCTCGAGGGCCCCCGTCCGTCCAGGGTCACCGTATAGGCTCCAGTTAGTGGCTGATCCCCTGTGAGAGAAAGAAAGGCAGAGTGAACGAATGAACCTGCCATCCTTCTTGTTTTCAGTCTTCTCCTTTTAAACTTTTTCATTGATTGAGTTTTGTGTGCGCTGCATGTGTATGTGGGGACTTCCCCATATTAATTCTACAAATAACTTTTTTTGTTTGGAGACCAAGACTTGCTATGTAGCCCAGGCTGGCCTCAAACACATGGTCTGGGATGGTAAATGTGTACCACCATGGCTGGCATCTCCTTCCTGGGAGCCCAGCTGCACCAGCGTGAGAAAGCACTGGACACAGCAGGAGATGGATCATCCTTATGTGTCTGTGGGGAAGGCTTCCTTATCACCACGGTCCCTGCCACCTTCTGAGTGCACAAGTCCAGCAATCCCCATGCAAGAGTCACCTTCTGAGTCTTGATTTTCAGTTTCTGCTGTTTCAGAGGAATTGAATTTGTTTCCCAACACCCATGTCAGGCATCTTGCGACAGCCTGTAACTCCAGAACTAAAAGAATCCTCACTTCTGGCCTCAGTGGGCTTCTGCAAGCGTGTGAACATAACATCACACACACATATACACATGTATGTAAAAATAATGAAAATAATTCTTTAAAAAAAAAAAAGGTGGTGATGTTTTAACATCTGCATTTCAGGTGATTTTTTTTTTCCCAGAGAGACAGCAGAATAGTAGAAGAGAAAGGAGATCAAAGAAACCAGGCATAGGGCCTGGAGAGATGTCTCAGCAGTTAATAGAACGAGTTGTTCTTCTAGAGGACCTAGCTTCAACTCCCAGAACCCACATGGTGGCTCTTAACCTGTAACCCTAGTTCCAGGGGATCCAAACCTTCTGGCCTTCTTAGGTACTGCATGTACTAGGTACAAAGCCATACTGCAGGCACACATGAAATAAAATGAAAAGAGCAACAACAAAATGCCACCCAGGCATGGTGCTAAATAGCTGCAATTCTAGCACGTGGGAGGTGGAAACTGGAGGATCAGAAGTTCAAAGTCATCCTGAGCTACACTGTGAGTTCAAGGACAGCCTGGGCTACATAAAGCAGATGGTGAAATAAGGCAAGAAAAGACAGAAAATATATTTACATCTTTGCTTTTTTATGATTTGGACTTTTGGAATATAGTCTCAAAACCCAAGCTATTCTAGAGCTAGTGATTTCCTGCATTGGCTCTCAAATACTGGAATTACAGGTGATTATCACATACTTTCCTTCCGCTTTTACAAAGTATTTTTTGAAAAAATTTATTTATCTTATGTGTATTGGTGTGAGAGTGTCAGATCCCCTGGAACTAGAGTTAAAGACAGTTGTGAGCGCCATACAGGTGCTGGGAATTGATCCCAAGTCCTCTGGAAGGGCAGGCAGTGCTCTTAACTGCTGAGCCATCTCTCCAGCCCCGAAAAAAAAAAAAAATGATTTCTCAATTACACTTTTCTTTACTTATTTTGAGGAGGAAGTCACATGGCATGGCTCATACATGGAGATGGGAAAACATGTTCAGGAGGTACCTGTCTTCACTGTGTGGTTCTCGGGAATTGAACTCAGATCTCTGGACTTTGTGCCAGCCCACGCTTACTTTTCTTTTATGTGGCCATGCACCTGAACGTGACCCATTGTACAGTGCTGACAGTTTTAGAGGAGCCAGGCAAGGCCCAGCCAAGCCCTCAGGTGGAAAACAGGCTGGTGGTGATGTCCCAAGGTCCCAACCCTACTCACCTATGTGTGGGGGCATCACGGCCACGTATTTCAGGCCGGACTCTTGCAGCAACTTATGCATCCGTATGTGGTCATCGGTCACGTCCTGCAGGCGTGGGGGCACCTTGGATGGGTCCCACAGCAGGAAGGCTAGTGGGATGGACACAGAGCAGGGTTAGCTTGGGCCGAAAAGAATCATTCGTGGCTTGCTATCGCCTCTCAGCCGCCAGAATGCAAGTCCCTTCAGCCACCTGTCTTATATCCACTCTGAGAAGTTGGAGGCCCAGTCATTCTACATCTGATCTCTTCTCCCCCAGCCACCCGCCCTTAGTAACCTCTTCTCCGCTCCCCAGCCTGACAACCCCAGTTTGTGGTCACAATCTACGAGGTGAAAGAAGAGAAACGACTCTGACCAAGTTGTCCTCTGACCCCGATATCCACCCCCACACACACACAACAAACAACTGTAAAAACGAATTTAAACGTTTGTATGTGTGCTATACGCGCATGCGTGCGCACTGTGTGTGAAGGACAGAGGTGATGTTGGGTTCCTTCCTCAAGTGTTCTCCGTCTTCTTTTTTGAGACAGTCCCCCATTGAATCTGGAGCTCGCCAATTTGTCTAGACTACAGACAAGCAGACCAGGGGATCCTTCTCTTTCTACCTGCCTAGAGCTAAGATTACAGGAATAAGGCTACACCTAGATTTTTATTCAGGTGCTGTTAGCATTGATTGCTATAGATTCCTTTTGGGTTACTGAGGATTCCTTCAGTGCTAAGGATGGAACCTAGAACTTTATACATGCCAGACAGAGCTCTACCACTGAGCCACACCTCCAGCCCCTCACTGGGGGATTCTAGGCAGGGGCTCTACCACTGAGCCACGCCCCCAGCCCCTCACTGGGGGATTCTAGGCAAGGGCTCTATGACTGAGCTATATCTCAGCCCTTCAGTAACTTGTGTTTAATGTCTGTCTCACCATAACTGGGGAGAGCAGCAAGTTGGTGTACACCAGACCTATATCACATTCTCTGTGAGGCATCTCCCACTTCTTGCCTCCCATTTTCTTCCCTGACTTGTCCACTCCCAACCCTGATCTCTCTGCAGTGCCTTTTCTGTCCTGGCTCTGCCCATCTGGGATGTCAGTTCATTCATAGATCTGCTTGTCATCTCACTTTTATCTGTGAGCCCTGTGGGTACAGAATCCGGGGCACACTGCTATGTTCACGGTTGGTGTGTAATAGGTGTACGGTAACTTGGGATGGCTCTAATCAGAGGACTGGGGGGGTGTTTGTTCAGTACTCACCCCCTTCCCAGTTCAGCCCCACTTCCATGACCCCACCACCCACCCGAGGTGCAGGCCACGACCTTGTCCACTCCATGCGCCTTCATGGCTGTCACAATGTTCCGGGTGCCCTCGGACATTACTGTAGTGGGACCTTAGAGGGGACAGAGAGTGGCTGTCACTGGCAGGTGGCGGTGGCGGCGGCGGCAAGGGTGGGGCCGGGGGCGGGGGCGGGGGTGGTGCTGGAGGCCGAGGAGCAGGGAGGGGCCGAGGGCAAAGGGGAGGCTCAGTACTGAGATCGTTGCCGGTGCCCAGCAGTACGATGACAGCGTCCTGCCCAGCCACGGCCTTGTCCACATCAGCCGCCTGCAGAACATCTCCCACCACCACATGGGCTGGCTGGGGCCCCTCTGATGGCAGCTTGCTGGAATTGCGAACCAGTACTGTCACCTCATAACCTGTGGGCAGAGAGGAGTAGAAAGCAGGTCAGCGGGCTGGTGGGTGAACCCTCAAATCCTATTCTGAGGTAATGGACATCAAGGGTCAAACTAACAGTTGATACTAGCTAGCTCTGAAACAGGGCAATGCTCTCACCCTAGCTCAAAACACTCCGAATGTGGGTCTCCACGAGGCTATCCCTGACTAGACTTCCCCATGCTCCAGCAGGGAAATGGTTAAACCCTGGCATATCACATCTGCTATATTCCCCAATATATGCATGGTTCTGCAGGAAAGTGAAGAACCAAATTCCCTAAGACTAAATGAAATCGGTATTAGTTCCCTCCCTTTGCCAAGGGTATCTCTAGTGCTCACGAGAGAGTCTGAGGAGCCCCTGTGGTTTCAAAGGGCAGCGATTCAGCTACTCAGAAGGCTGAGGCACAGGGACAGAAAGTTCTAGGCAAGTAGTGAGACTATGTCCAAAACAAAACTTTGAAAAAAAGAGTTGAGGGGAGGCTGGAGGTATGCCTCAGTGGCCCTCACCTAGAGTCTCCCAGTGAGGGGCTGGGGGCGTGGCTCAGTGGTGGAGCCCCTGCCTAGAATCCTCCAGTGAGGGGCTGGGGGCGTGGCTCAGTGGTGGAGCCCCTGCCTAGAATCCCCCAGTGAGGGGCTGGGGGCGTGGCTCAGTGTGCTTATCTAGTACCAATGAGGTTTGGGTTCCATCCCTTGCTTTGAGAAAAACAGCAACAACAACAAAACCCAAAAAAACCAAAAACTGATGACAAATAATTAAAGGTCATCAAATAAATAAAATATTTGCACGGACAATGACCAGGACAATGGAAGCTCGTCCATCACTGTTAACAGCTGTCTGGGTCGGTTGCAGGGATTGGTCCCTTACTCTGAAGAAGATACATAAAGAGTGTTACAAAAGGTTCTTTGTCATGGCTGGTCCCACTGCCCGGCTCAGTCTCAAATAAACACAACTATTAATTATGAAACTGTTGGCTGATGCCTAGGGCTTCTTATTGACTAGCTCTGCCTTAATCATTAGCCCATTTCTATCAATCTATGTTCTGCCACGAGGCTGTGGCTTACCCGGTAATGCCCTGGCACGTTGTTACTCCTTCGGCAGCATCACAGCTCTGTGTGGCGGGCTCCCTCTGCCTACCTTTCCTAGAATTCTCCTTGTCTCCTAGACCTGCCTGTCTTCCTACCTCATTGGCCGAACAGGGTTTTATTCACTAACCAAGAAGGACATCCCCCATCAGAAGAGTTTCTTTCCTCTAGATAGCTGCCAACACCAGTTACACCAACGGTGATGGGAGAGTTTTACACTCTGGGACAATGATGAAGATGCTGCTGCTGAATACCTCTGGGGCGAGAGTCTAGAGTCTCTAAGGTTAAACAGCTTCACACTGAGCGATGTGTCCTCACACCCTTTGAAATTTCATCTTGTATTCATTTATTTGTTGAGGCAGGGTCTCATGTGTTCTAGCCTGGCCTTGGACTCCTCATCCTCCTGACTCCACCTCCCAAGTGTTAGGATTATAGATAGCACTTGCTCTCAAGCCTGGTAGCAGGAGGTGCTGGGGATGGAGCCCAGGGCCTCACGCATGTTAGGTAGGCATTCTACCAACGAAGCTATACCCACACCTCACTGGCTTTTTATTGTTTTTGGTTTTCTGAGACAGCGTTTCTCTGTATGGTTTTGGAGCCTGTCCTGGAACTCTGTACCCCAGGCTGGCCTTGAACTCACAGACATCTGCCTGCCTCTGCCTCCCAGTGGTGTACCACCACCGCCCAGCCACAGCTCACTTTTTTCATTTTGAATCTCATTAAGTTGCTCAGGCTGGCTTGAAACTTAAGATCACCTGCCTCAGCCTCCTGGGTAGCTGGAAAGACAGGCCTACAACAGCACACGGGACTAGAAATGGCATTTGGAGAATTAACACACACTATGTCCCAGATTCCAAACACTTTGCACATATTCACTTCTTGAGTCCTTAAAGCTACCCTGGTTTCTTAGGACCCCAGTCCTACCTGGGAGCTAGCTTTGCGACTCTGGGCTTGGAACATTCATAAAGTGCCGGCAATCTTATTCTCTACATGTTGCTGCTTCCTCTCTCTCCCTCTCCCCCTTTCTACCTCTCTCCTTTTCCCTCTCTCTTTCAGCCTCCCCACCCTGGTTCTCATGCAGCCCAGGCTGGCCCCAAACTCACTATATAGCCAAGGACAACTCTGAATTCGGGCAGTCCTGGGTTACAGAGATCCTTGTCCCAAATAAAAACAAAAAGAATAGTTTGAATATGGTACTAGGGCATTGAATGTAAAAGCCGCAGGATCCCTACTTCCCAACTTACACAAAAATTAACCCAAGGGCTGGTGAGGTGGCTCAGCCAGCAAAGGTGGTTGCTGCGGAGCCTGAGCACCTGAGTTCTATTCCTGGGGACCTCATGGTAGAAGGAGAGAACTAACTCCCTCAAGCTGATCTCCTGACCTCCATACTCAGGCACCGCCCCCCCAACACACACAATGTAAAAAGGGTATTGTCATTATAAGCGTTAACCCAAATGGTCAAAGACATAAATAAACATAAGAAAAGATTATAAAGTTATTGGAAGAAAATATAAGAATACATCTTGCTGACCGCAGGTTAGAAGGTGGTTTCTTAGCTTTGACATCAAAGGCAGGAGCAAAGGCCAAAACAAACAAATAGGACTTCATCCAAATGGCAAGCTTTGCACTAGCGGGCGTGGCAGCCACTTTTACTCTCAACACTTGGAATTCAGTGAGCTTTGGGCCAGCCTGCTCTACATGCTGAGACCTTGCTTCAAATAAACAAAAATCCCCAAATCTTTGGTGCTTCCAAGGACACTAACATGAAGAAAATAAGAAGACAGAGTCTCACTATGTTGTCCAGACTGCAGCACAATGGTTAGTCACAGGCGCCATTCCACTACAGATCCTCACTGGAGTTTTGACCTGCTGTTTCCAACCTGGGCTGGGTGGTCCCCAGCTCTCAGGAAGTCACCATATTGATGCCAAACTTAGTGTGAACACGGGATCAGCCTAGCCCAGAAAGCCTGGACCGGAGCAATCTTGCTGAGTCAAGCCTCCCGAGTCTCCCAAGCAGCCCCGCGGGAGAATTCTACACAAGCGTGAATTCTACACCTAGACTCCGTGTAAAAAGTCAGGAGTGAGAGGCAGGAACTGGGAGTGGATTTGATCGGTCACACTGGGATACTTGAAAACAAAAGGCACACAGTGAGGTATACTTGTAATCTCAGTGCTGGGAGGCAGAGTCAGGTGGATCCCAGGGCCCTGAGAGCTGGCCAGACCAGCCTGCTCAGTGTCCCAGTGAGAGACCCTGTCTCAAGAACAGAAACAAAGCCAAAAGCATGGTGGAAGGCTCCTGAAGAATGACAGGTCTCCACGCAAATATGCACCCGCCCCACACACTTAACCACACTCCCTCCCACACACAAGGTTAAAAATGAAAGGAAGCTGGCCGTGGCAGTGGTGGTGCTCGCCTTTAATTCCAGGGGAGGCAGAGGCACGCGGATCTTTGTGAGTTTGAAGCCGGCCTGGTCTACGAGAAAGTTCCAGGACAGTCAGGGCTACAAAGAGAAACCCTATCGAGATGACGATGTATTGGAAAAGGCTGGTGTATATGGTTGGCATGCTGGTGCGGGGACACCTCACTCATGCAGTCCCAAGGATAACACTAAATCATCGTGTTTAGGGGTTGGAGAGATGGCTTAGCAGTTAAGAGCACTGACTGCTCTTCCAGGGGACCCAGGTTCAATTCCCAGCACCCACATGGCAGCTCACACCTGTCTGTAACTCTAGTTCCAGGGGACCCTAACCCTCACAGAGGCAAACATGCAGGCCTCTATTCTACTCATAGAAACAAAACAAAACAAAATGATGTTTTGGCTTTGAGAACATCCTGGCAGGTCTTCAAAAGGTTATGCACAGCCTAGCCATGTGAGCCAGCAATTCTACTATCAGATAACAGACTGGATGGGAATGGAAAACATGTTTTCAACCCAAAACTTTTGCAGGCATTAGTCACTGTAGTAGTCTCCAAATCATCTGCCAACTGTTTAATGGATAAACCTGTACAATGCAGCAGGACCATTTGGCAAATAAAAACAAAGGAGATACTGACGCATGCTCGAACAGTTTGAGGAAGGAAAGGAAAAAAAATGTATACATGACCAAGCGAAAGAAACCCAGTCACACTGGGTGTGGTAACCAGCACTGGAAGCTGAGGCCCAGTGATTGGGAGCTGGAAGCCAGCCTGGGCTAAGGAGTGAGACCCTGGAGAGATGGCTCAGTGGTTAAGAGCACTGGTTGCTCTTAGGTAAGTGGACCAGAGTTCAGTTCCTTGCATCCACATCAGGTGGCTCACAGCTGTAACTCCAGCTCCAGAGAGCTGACAACTCTGGCCCCTGTAATGACTCCCACGTACCCACACACAGACACACTAAAAAGAGCCAGGTGGTGGTGGCACATGTCTTTAATCCAAGCACTTGGGAAACAGGCAAGCAAATCTCTGTGAGTTCGAGGCCAGCCTGGTTTACAGAGTGAGTTCCAGGACAGCCAGGGCTACACAGAGAAAGCCTGTTATGAAAAACAAAACAACAATAACAACAAGAAAGCAACCAACCAGCCAAACGAACAAAAAACTAAAAAGAGCCTCGTGTGGTTGTACACACCTTTAATTCCAAAACTCAGGAGGCAGATAGCCCAGCCTGGTCTACATAGTGAATTCCAGGTTAGCCAGAGCTACATGGTGAGACCTTATCTCAAAACAAAACAATAACAAATAAACAAACAAACAAAAAAACCCAAAGAAATCTTATAAAGACACAAGCTAAAAAAAAAGAACATTAAAAAAGCCTTAAATATAGAAATAAAGTCATAGGATCTCAGCCATAACATGCTTATACATACAAGGCCCTGGATTTGAACCCTGCACAGAAAAACCACAAGGACAAAAACTTCATAAAAA